TATATATATATATATATATATATATATTCTTTTTCCAGTAATGAGACTTTTTTTTATTTTTGTTTTATTTTTAATATTAAATTTAATTTATTTTGTTAATTTATTTTATTTCCAATGGCGATGACCAGAAAGGTTATAGGGTTTTATGAGATTCCCCCATGAATAAAACTGTTTCCTTTCATTTGTTGGGAACTATATTATATTTACTTGCATCATAAAATCTACCTGCACAGTTGACCCCCAAAAAGCAGGAGCACCCTATGTACTAGTCAGGTTAATTCATGCCATTTATTGTGTTGTGACCTTTCATGCTGAAAAACAGATCCAATAAGAGCCATCACAAAGGTGCTTTCATCAATGAAAGCAGAAGTGCAGCCACAAATCAGAATTTCAAATTAGATTATTTTACTTATCAGAGAAGGATGCATGCATTTTTACTGAAAAGGTAACTAGATCAAAATCAGATACACTTGACCAAAAGCAATACTCATCTCTTTTTTCCCTGTTTGTTCTGCTCTCCATCATCTTTATTGCAAGCGGCAGCAACCTCATGCTGGCTCGTCAGATTCAGGATGTTATCCTTCTCTCTGCTTCTCTGGGTTTCCATGCTCAGAACATTCCAGCTTGAGATTGAAGCTCAGCAGATCTTCACCTTGAAGAAAGAAATGGTTTACTCAAAAATTAAAATGTCCATAATTTATTCATTCTTATTTCAATCCAAACTTGAAGGAGATATTTGAAAGTATTTCAAGCTGCTGTTTTGCAAAAATATGTTCTAAGAACATTTTGCAAATGTTTCCATTAGGCCCTGTGTCCACCAAAGCGTTTTTCCCCGCGGCTAGCGTGAATAAATACGTTATCTGAATATTCAAAACACCCTTTTTTTAAATCGTTTAAAGGGGTCATATGATGCAATTCCATTTTTTCCTTTCTCTTTGGAGTGTTACAAGCTCTTGGTGCATAAAGAAGATCTGTAAACAGATTCATTCACAAAGTATAATCATGCATTTTTCTTATAGACAGACACTATATTTTGAGGAGAGCATGAATTAGTATCTCTCTGTGTACATAGATGTGATAGACGGTTTTTATTTGTTTTACCATTTGATTTAAACTGAATCTTATGGGAGTTTAGGCATATTTCTATGCCCTTATCAGAAGTCTATAATCAGGATTCTGATGTTCATGGATCCGTCTTTGTGTCTTTCCAGGTTGTTTGTCAGTTCATAACAATCCAATCTTTGTCATTCTTGTGAGGCTAAAGCTCTACTACAATGTTTAGTCTCCAGTGTTTTGTTTACTCCTGATTTTTCCGCACCTCTTACAAACGATTTGTGACCTATATGGCATTTATGGCTTGCAAACAATGGTTTCACACACATTCAGTAGTCATATTACATACAATTAAACTACTTCTCTTTTCATAAAACATATTTAATTATACTAACATATTAAATTATCATGGGAAACTACAGATCTGTGTCAAAGAGCTGCCAATGAATGTGAAACTGTGAGGTCGCATGTTATCAGGGATCTCCGAGGTTAACATACCACAAAAGCATATTGCAAGATGTTTTTCTGCTCACGATAGTCACATAAAATTATATTGTTGCCAGAAAATATATATATTAAGTGTAAAAGAAAGATGATACATTTATTTAAGAATTAAACTATGATTTTTAGAGAAAATCTATTTCAGTATTTTAGACTTTTAATAAATTAACATTGCTGTGAAAATAGCGGCGACCTTACCTTATCATTCATATCGGTTCTAACGTGCACGGAAACAAAGAAAAAAATAGATAGTCCGATTCATTTCCGCGAATCGGTTCATGTTTTCGGTGAACCAGTAAAAAAACGATTCAATGGTTCTTTTACGTCACGGCACAATCCAATCTTTGTCATTCTTGTGAGGCTAAAGCTCTACTACAATGTTTAGTCTCCAGTGTTTTGTTTACTCCTGATTTTTCCGCACCTCTTACAAACGATTTGTGACCTATATGGCATTTATGGCTTGCAAACAATGGTTTCACACACATTCAGTAGTCATATTACATACAATTAAACTACTTCTCTTTTCATAAAACATATTTAATTATACTAACATATTAAATTATCATGGGAAACTACAGATCTGTGTCAAAGAGCTGCCAATGAATGTGAAACTGTGAGGTCGCATGTTATCAGGGATCTCCGAGGTTAACATACCACAAAAGCATATTGCAAGATGTTTTTCTGCTCACGATAGTCACATAAAATTATATTGTTGCCAGAAAATATATATATTAAGTGTAAAAGAAAGATGGTACATTTATTTAAGAATTAAACTATGATTTTTAGAGAAAATCTATTTCAGTATTTTAGACTTTTAATAAATTAACATTGCTGTGCGACCTTACCTTATCATTCATATCGGTTCTAACGTGCACGGAAACAAAGAAAAAAATAGATAGTCCGATTCATTTCCGCGAATCGGTTCATGTTTTCGGTGAACCAGTAAAAAAACGATTCAATGGTTCTTTTACGTCACGGCGTAGTTACGATTACGAAATCACTTGTACCCTGATATCCTGATATATTTTCTATTCACTTCTAATGTTTTGTTGAAAAGAGACAAATCACGGTTCTCCGTTCAATGTCTCGAGTTTTTTTTTACTCGAGAACCGCTTTTACCCTACTGAATCACTTTGATTCATGAACGAATCGTTCAGGCCGCTTTTGCGAACCAGTTCAAACGATTCATTTAAAAAGATCCGACCTCAAAGAGCAATTCCCGTGTACCTGCGTGTACAGTACAAATCTGAAGGCAGAGCAAATATATTGAAGTACTCCTGCTGGTTCCTTAAATGTGTCTACAGGAATCCTGTAGGCTGTTTGTAACACAGTCCTTCATGATTCCTGCAGAACTTTTCTTGTGAGTAGCACTAATGTCAAGCGGTCTCTGCTGCCCTCATGTGGCCATGAGTGGAAATGCCACACGTCCCATTATTATAATAATCACTTTTCAAAAACGAAAGAAATGAAATATGATGAAAATATAATTAGAATAAGAACATTCTTATAGCATGATCACATACTTCTAAAGATTGTTATAAATATATAATATGCATTTTAATTATTTGGAAGCCTAGAATAATGTACATAAATATAAATGGCAGACTGGAGCTAGGTCTGTATAAAAGCTAGAAAGTTTTGCATTTACATGAAGCATTCTCTCTAGCGGTAGTTGTGTATGTTGGTATCAAAAACGTAATCCACACCTCTAACCTTAAATCAGATTATTTTTATGAATTATGTCTATGAAACTAGAATTTTATATTTTTATAATACCTTATTATTGAAAAAAAAAAAGTATTATATTTTTATTTTTATTATTTTAAAAAAAAGTGAACCCAGCAAAATCAGAGTGGAATACACTCAGACACAAGTTGGCTATATAATGAAGGCAGATTTGAATTGAATTCTTGAACTGTGATGTCCATTTTTGCTGTTTCTTTAATTGTTTGTGTTTCCTATTTTCAAAATATTTATATTTTGATGAAAAGCCTATGATAAACTCCTTGGTTCCCAGTGTGACAACATACCCCATGAGCTATTGCTATTGGGGCATGTGGTCACAAAAGGTCAATGTGTGTTCAGTGAACTATATTATTTCTGCACTCTAAGGGCGAAAATATTTCATTCCCCCCCCCAAAATATACTGCGTATATATAGAAAGTGAAATTTGGCCTGGTGAAGAGCGATATGACGTGGATGTGGATGTATTCTGGACAGGATTTATGAGATAAACAATGTGCTTCTATGCACTTTTCAAATAGTATTTTAAAACATAAAATGTATTCATTTCAATATTTATTGACCATTTATTATTTAGCTGTTTATATTTTAATAAAAAGCTTATAATAGGTTGTTTGGTGCCCAGTGTGACAACTTACCCCATTAGCTATTACTATTGGGGCATGTTGTCACAAAAGGTAAAGCGAAATCTAATGTCTTTCTTTTAATATTAGGGTGAAATACGACCTGGGCGTGTTCTTGACAGGACCTGTGAAATAAACAGAAACAGTATATATATAGAATAAACAAAATATAACTTGTACTCATGCATGACAACATACAACACACACACACACACACACATTTTTCATGTGACATGAAATAACTTTTGTTGTAAATAAAAAGATGAAAAACAAAACCAAAAAAACAGTTTTTCTACTTCAAAATGTCATGTTTAATTCAGTGTTTGTTTTTGTTTTGTTTTTTTGCAATTATTAGTGAAATTTACTAGCAATTTCTGAGTGTAAAATGCTTTTAAAGTCAACCCTACACTAAATTCTCTTCAGTGTAGTTTGAGAGTACATCCTTGTTTATCCTCTGTGGGAATTTGCAAACAAATGAGATCCGTGCAGGTGTAGACTTACATCCCCCTGACCAATCACTGTAGAGATCTGAGTCTATATATAGCTGCTCCCAAACCCCCCTCACACTACCTGCCGCAGGTAAAACAGCAGACCGCGTCTCGCAAGCACGCTCAAAGGCACCTCTAATCCACACCATGTCGTTCAAGAGCCCTTCCAGGAGTTTCTCCAGCTCAAGTCTTTCTGGCAGCATGGGGTCAAGGGGCAGTTGGTTCGGGGCCATTTCCCCAGCCGCTATAGGGAATCTGGCAAACACACTGCGTCCGATCGTGCAGATCAACAGCAGCACTTTTGCCCCAGCTGATGATAAAGAGGCCATGAAGGGTCTGAATGACCGTCTGGCGGGGTATCTGTCAAACGTACGACTCCTGGAGGACTCCAACAATCAACTGGAGGAGCAAATCAAAGAGGCTCTGATGAGGAAAGGAGCTGAGAGCGGCAGAGACTGGAGCGCCTATGAGAAGATCGTTGCGGATCTGAGAAACCAGGTGAGCAAATAAAGGTTTTGTTAAGTACTCATGCATGCGTTTTATCATAAAGTACACAAGCAAATATTTGGACACACCTGCTAATTCTATAACTATTTTCCTTATTTTAGAATAATAGTAGGCTATAACATGAAACAAATTAAAGTTTAGGAATTATGCTGGCCAAATATGTTCTTCTGTTTGAGCTTCTGAAAAGCTTCCGCCCTTTAAATTCCAGCTCTGCAACTTCTTTAAAGACATGAGATGCAAGTTTATATGTATAATGGTCACTTGTTGATGTTTTTTACCTGCTCCAACTCATCTATTAAAATTTTTTAAAATTATTAAAATTCAATTTTAAGTCTGTTTATGGTTGTGTATGTGATTTAAGCTTGTAAAGACAAATGTTCAACAACAACTTGCTTATAATATGTTGCAACCTTAAAGTTTTAATTAAAATATATTGAATTATTAATTGAATGTAGATTCAATAAAAAAACAATTCAATATCTATTTTTCATAATGCATTTTTATTTATTTTATTTTAGTAAAAAGATGCATTTTGCATGAGTGACCTCGACAAAAGCAGCAAAAGACAATAATGTTACAAACTGGCAAGAAAACAACTGAAATACAATTAAGAAACAAAATGGAAGAAATATTATTATTAAAAATTACAAAAAAAAAGTCACAAAACTTTTACTAGGTATCCGAACTGGTCTGAGTGCTGTAACCCTTAGAAGATACATTAAAAAAAATAAAATAATAAAATAAAAAAGTTTTTAGTATAGGAACCAAACTTTGGTAATGTGTCAAGACTATCAAAATGAATTTAGAAAATAGTTTTTAAGAGATATAACAATTTAAAAGACAATATAATGATATGCATGAAAGGTTTTATTTATTTTGCATTTATTAAATTATTTAATTACTTTATATGATTTAGTCTATTTTCCTTTGTTGGTTATTAGCATAAAGTTTAATGACAATTGTAAAACAAAAAAAAACTACTATTTGTTGAAATGCTGTAATGAGAGCCCTAAATGCAAGACAATGCAATGAGTGTTTGTGCTTGTACATCAACCCCTCAGATCCAGGAAATGACTATGGACAATGCCAGACATTTCCTGCAGATAGACAATGCGAGGCTTGCTGCTGACGATTTCAAAGTCAAGTGAGTTATTTGGTTTTTTTTTATTCCCTGATGAAATGTTAAAAACTCTCAAATTAGGAAAACTTCTCACAAAAATAGGCTATACAAATATTTCATATTGTGTAAATACAAAGCAGTCACCGAGCTGCAGCGCAGTTTGCTGTAAATACGACACACGCCCTGTAGTCTCTGATGTAAATGAGCGCTCCGGGCAGGTTTGAGTCGGAGCAGGCCATGCGGCAAGGGGTGGAGCAGGATCTGGCACGACTCCGCAAGATGCTGGACGACACTTACATGGGTCGCATGCAGCTAGAGAGCCAGATCGAGTCTATGAGAGAAGAGCTGGCTTTCCTGAAGAAGAGCCATGAAGAGGTACACGCCACTGTCAACAGATCTTCCCACCCAACCTGCCTGGTTTTTCTATGCTTTAGGGCAAGCGTTAAACAGCTCTCCAGCAGCAGCTATGTTGCCAGATCCTGCCAATATAATCCATATAACTAAATCCATTGATCATTTTATTTTACAGGATGTTGCCAACCTGACAAACCAGATCAGCGACTCCCAAGTCAATGTGCAAATGGAGACTAAAAACAGTGCAGACCTCAATGAGGTCATTAATAACATCCGCACGCAGTACGAGCGAGCCGTGCAGAAGAGCCGCGAGGAAACTGAAGCCTGGTTTCAAAACAAAGTCAGTCATATTTTGCATTCTTTTGTCTTCTCCTTCTGTTATATATATATATATATATATATATATATAGAAATAGAAAATATATTTTAAAAATCCAACAGCCCATATAATAATTGTGTCTCTTAAGGATTAAAGGTTAAGCACCATCTTTCTTTTTTTTTTTTTGTGAGTTGTGACCCTATGTTGTGCCCTATGGGAAAGTGCCTTTTATTTAGGAGAGCTTTGTGCCTAATTATAAGGCAGCACTATATTGTCATGTGACCCGGATCCCTTGTTCTCTTTGTTCCTCTCTATCCAGCTTGACAACATCACAGCTGAGGTGACTCAGAACACAGAAGCTCTGCAGGCAGGAAAGACCGAGCTGAACGAGCTGCGCAGGCAGAAACAATCTCTAGAAATTGACCTGCAGGCTCTGCACAACATGGTACGGTACACAGATTACACAAATTATCCACTTGACAAATCACTCAGCATTCTACACAGTCAGCACTCTCACCTGGCAGACATGTGCATCGTTTAAATGATTATGAGATGTGATTGCACGAAATGTTCAATGCCTGTCTCTGTGCATGCATGTCATCTGAATTTACACATTATTCCTGTGCACCCAAGTGTTTTTTTAAACCATGGGAAAACAGGGGCCGTTTTATATGGCGGTTTGTCGAGATTTCTTTGTCAAGATCATTTCTGAAGCACATTTCTGCAGAGAAATAATTGCTGGAAGTCAAAAAGTTTGACACACCTACTCATTATTTCTCACATTTTAGAATAATACTAGTCATTTATAAATAACACAAATGAAACAAAAATACTGGAAATAGAAAATATAAAAAAAATTTGAAATAATATAATAAAAATTTGAATTAATGAAATATACTAAATGTAAAAAGAATTATAAAAATAAGAATTTCTATTTGTCCATGCATTTAAGTGTTTCCAGACTTTCCTTTATTCTGCTTGGTGTCTAGCAGATTCAGTTGCTCAAACATGTCTTGCACATTATTCCTGTGCACCCAAGTGTTTTTTAACCATGGGAAAACAAAAGCTGTTTTTATATAGTGGTTTGTCGAGATTGTTTTGTCAAGATAATTTTTTTGGACTTACTTGAAGCACATTTCTGCACAGAAATAATCACAGAAAAAAGTCAGAAACTTTGACATACCTACCTTACCTACCTTTGACATACATGCCTTTATTATTACCATTTCCCACGTTTTAGTATAATAGTAAAGTCATCAATGAAATAACAAAAATGGAAACAAAAAGAATGAATAAATATATATTTTAATATATTATACAAATTGTATAATCTGTATGCATTTATTTCTTCTCCGGAAAAAAAAAAAAAAGATATTTTGAAGAATGTTGGCAACCAAACATTTTCAGTTCCCATTGACTCCCATTATATTTTTGTTCATATAATATCTTCATTTATGTTCCACAGAACAAAGAAAGTCATACAGGTTTAGAATTGTCATTTTTGGTGAACTATCCCTTTCATCTTGAAATCTCCTTGGTCACTGATTGCAACGTGCACATCACACAACATTGTGGTTTCCATACAGCATTTTCCTTTGTGAGCTGCCCATGCAAATCTAGCGTGCACAAAGCTTATCTTTCCATGGTGAAGTCACTCTGTAGTAACAAACACACGGCACAAACTCTTTCCCTACAGGCTTGTGAGAAACATGTCCCAGCAAGCATCTGTCCATTAAAGTAGACACCACTTAAAGACAATGAGGTGGACGTTTCGACCCTTGCAGAAAAGTGATCACTCAGTGTGGGGTTTTTCAGTGAACGACTCTTAACTTCGAACATTTAGTTGCATCCTTTCCATCAAGTACCTCCCTTTGTGCCACTCTCTCATGTTTTCTCTTCCCTCCACAGAGAGGAATTTTCTTTAGAGCAGGCGTTGTATGCAGGTGAGTGCCGTGACGTGTCGTGTAGATTTTAGGCATCGTCAGTGTGAGTTCAAAAACACGCTTGCCTAACCCACATCAAGCTTGTCTTCATACTAATCATCACTCACTGCTGTACTGTCTAACAAAGACGAGTAAACAGTGCTGCCCGAGCCCTCGCTGGCCAAATACACTCACATCACTCACACTGTTTATGTTTCTCACTGCTATCCTCATGCAAATATGTTTGAAGACAATCATCTTTGCAACTTGTTACAACAAAAGGGTCATTCTACAAAACAGGTGCCATTTGTGTGCCTTTTTTAGCCACCTCTGTTTTCATTTTTGGCTTTATTAGCATGTATGTATTTACAGAGGAAAGCAAAATGCATATATTAAAAATCTTTTTTAATGTAATGCAAAGCTGAATTTTCTGAATCATTTTAATATGCTGATTAACAAAAAAATACATATTATCCATGTTGAAAAATTCTTAATATTTTTGTGAAAACTGAAACATTTATTTTTCAGTATTCAGCATTTAATTGCAATAGAAATACTTTTTGATCAATTTATGCATACTTGCTGAATAAAAGTATTAATTTCTTAAAAAAATAAAAATAAAAACTTACTGCCCCAAACCTTTGAACAAAAGTGTTTATACATTTACCTTTAAGTTGACTTTTATGCAGTTTAATGTTTTTTTTAATAATTATAATTCTAAAAAAAAATATGAATGAAGTAAAATTAACAACCAACATCAAATTCTCAAAGAAACACCTTTTAACTTCATGAGCTTATAATGCCAATTGTCCAATTAAACTAAAACTTCACCCTGTTACTGTTCTGAAGACATAATCATATCTCAGAATATATTACAATTTGTTAATTTAGCTTGAAATGGTGCAATGCAATGTGTTAACTTTTAAACCAATTACTTGTCTGATGGGATTTTTGAAATGTGCAAAAACTTGCAAAATTATCTTCTTAAACTGCAATAGGCACCTGATTCATAGAATGACCCTAGTAATATTTATTAAAATGTTGCTTTCTCAACTATTATATGCATCATGATGAACCTTAATGATTTGTTTGCTTTTAAGAGCTTCTAGTGCTTTTTTTTTTTTTGGTGTGCTACACAAATGTCTTAATGAATTACTAAAGACTGACTCTAACCTCCAGCCTACGTTCTGTCTCCAGCTCCTCCCGTCGGACTTAAGAAAGCCATCATCATCACACAAGAAATAGTGGACGGAGAAGTGGTCTCTCAGAGGGAACTTGAGCAAAATCCTAATCACAATGACCTGGAAGTTTCTGGGGAGGATCAGGAGTTGACAGAACAACTGGAGCTAGCAGTGGAAGAGGCAAAAGCAGAGGAAGAGAACGTAGCAGAACAACTGGAGCTAGCGGTGGAAAAGGTGAAAGCAGAGGAAGAGAAAGTAGCAGAACAACTGGAGCTAGTGGTGGAAAAGGTGAAAGCAGAGGAAGAGAAAGTAGCAGAGCAACTGGAGCTAGCGGTGGAAAAGGTGAAAGCAGAGGAAGAGAAAGTAGCAGAACAACTGGAGCTAGCGGTGGAAAAGGTGAAAGCAGAGGAAGAGTTAACCAAACTGCCGTTAGCAAAGGAAGATGGGTTAGTGGAGGACAGAGAAGTCACCTGCTGAACACGATGAGGAGGAAGAAGCTTCTCAAGATGTTGTGAAGAAAAAGTAACTTTTTACTGCTATGTCTCATCCTATTCTTACAGCCTCAGTGGTTCTTCTTCTCTGTCTTTGTTCCTTTGTTCTTGCTCAGTTTTTCTTTGTGTTGACCATGACAATTTTATCAATCTCCTATGCCACAATTAAATATGTATGAGCTTCATTTTCTGGTCAGTGTTGTTATTTTCTAATGTAAATTACCAATGTAAGGGTAGGGGTCAGTAATAATAATTTGAGTAAGCAATAAGGTATGAGAGGCCATGCTGTATTGTGAATAAGTCACGGCTGAAGGGCGTTGTTAGGCATGACGAGAAGCGTGGCCTTCCGCTAAAAAAGTTTCTGCAGTAAACGGCAAGGGAACGGCCTTCAAATGCTATTCTTTTGAACTTTCTATTCATCAAAGAATCCTGAACGAAAAATGTAGCCTATCAGGATTCCCACAAAAAAAATATGAAGCAGCACAACCGTTTTCAACATTGATACTGATAAAAAAATTTTCTTGAGCAGCAAGTCAGCACAGTAGAATGATATCTAAAGGATCGACACTGAAGAATGGAGTAATGATGCTGAAAATTAAGCTTTTTATCAAAGGAATAAACTGCATTTTAAAATACATTAAAATAAAGTTATTTTGAAATGTAATGATATTTCACAATGTTTAGTGTTTTTACTGTATTTTTGATTAAATAAATGCAGCCTTGGCGAGCATTAGAGACTTTTTCCAAAAACATTATGCTGCTGTTTTTTTGTTTTGTTTTGGGTTTTTTTTTTTTGCGTACTTCAGAACAAATATAAAAAGCATGTTTATGCATGTTTGTTGCACCATCATGTCATTCCAAACCTGTAGGCCTATTTCTTTCTTCTGCTGGGAAAAAAGACTTTTGAAGAATGTTGGTAACCAAACATTTGTGGTTCCCACTGACTTCCATTGTATTTTTTGTGCATAATGGAAGTCAGTGGGAACCGAAACTGTTTGGATACCAACATTCTTCAAAATATCTTCATTTACGTTCAACAGAACAAAGAAAGTCAGGTTTGGAATGTAAACAATGACAGAATTGTCATTTGTGGTGTGTTATCCTATTTTGAAATCTCTTTTGTCACTGATTGCAATGTGGACATCACACAATATTGCTGTTTCCATACAGAATTTTCCTTTGCTGCCCATGCAAATCTAGTGTGTACAACCCTGTTGGAAAAAAAAAACAGCATCATATGCTCCCACTCTACAACTTGTAGTAATTCAGTGTACATCAAGCTCCGGTGCCCACGGAGCTGGTCACACTATGGATTCCAGCAGCAAGTTTGGTAGTCACGAGTCCAGTGTTTCCAGCCATCACTGCACCTGAAGATAACAAGTCAGTTTCTATGCATTTGAGACTGGCTTCCAGTTTTGCAAATCCACCACTGATCCACCACTCTTAAGCCTGGTGGCCTATAAGCCTATCTGTCCCAAAGGTTATCTCTTTGTTCACGGCGCTTTCCGTGATGGTGGTCACCGTTTTGTGTGTCTGGGCCATACACACTTTCCCTGAGGCAGCGGCAACCGCTACAGAACCTCCCAATTTTGTATAGTAAAAATAATAAGTGAAAAAGTGGATATTTGAAATATCAGCATTAAATTCTCAAAGAAGGAACTTATACCTGGTCACCTTATTTGTCAAATTAAACTAAAACTTCACCCTATACTGTTCTGTAGATATAATTATAATATAATAATTTGTTAATTTAGCTTGAGAAGGTGCGATGCAATGTATTGAAATTTAAACACATCATTTAAAAAAAACTTTTTTCATAAATTCACTTGCAAAATTACTTTCCCAAACTGCAATAGGCACCTGATTCATAGAATGACTCAACCTATTTCCAGGAAATGGCCCCAGAGAATGAACACCCCTTTGTACATTCAATATTCGTGAATCGAAAGCGAAAGTGATGATCACTAAATAAAAGGAAATCTAACTGCAAGCAGTCACAGGAGACGCACAGATAACACCAGGAAAACGCTATAATAACAGGTACGACAAAAACGATTAAAAAAGTGTAGGTAAACGCATTATCACACCAGGTAAATATTATACCACTTAGCTGACCATTATCGGATCAACATCTTAATACCAGGTGGAAATAGGGATCCTCTCTGCACCGTTTGTAACAGAATCAGAATCAGAATCAGAATGAGCTTTATTGCCAGGTATGTTTACACATACGAGGAATTTGTTTTCGTGACAGAAGCTTCCACAGTGTTAAATAAAAGGAAATCTAACTGCAAGCAGTCACAGGAGACGCACAGATAACACCAGGAAAACGCATTATAATAACAGGTACGACAAAAACGATTAAAATAGTGTAGGTAAACGCATTATCACACCAGGTAAATATTATACCACTTAGCTGACCATTATCGGATCAACATCTTAATACCAGGTGGAAATAGGGATCCTCTCTGCACCGTTTGTAACAGAATCAGAATCAGAATCAGAATGAGCTTTATTGCCAGGTATGTTTACACATACGAGGAATTTGTTTTCGTGACAGAAGCTTCCACAGTGTAACAGAATGACAGTGACAGAACAAAAAACACAGATAATAAAAAAAATAAAAATAAAAAAACCAAGTAAATAAGGAATAAAAATATATAAAATCGACATTAAATTGTTTATAATTCGCGGGCGTCAGGGAGCCGCTATCATATGCGGGAGACTCCCGGACATTCCGGGAGAGGTGGGATGTCTGTAAATGTCTTAATGAATTACTAAAGACTTACTCTAACCTCCAACTTTCTGTCTCCAGCTCCTCCACCTTCCGTCGGACTCAAGAAAGCCATCATCACGCAAGAAATAGTGGACGGAGAAGTGGTCTCTCAGAACGAACTTGAGCAAAATCCTAATCACAACAACCACAAGAGGAGTTAACAGAACAAATGGAGTTAGCAATGGAAAAGGCGAAAGAAGAGCAAGAGGAGTGGGGAAAACAAATGGAGTTAGCGATAGAAAAGGCGAAAGAAGAGCAAGAGGAGTTGGCAGAACAAATGGGGTTAGCAATGGAGATAGCGATGGAAAAAGCGAAAGATGAGCAAGAGGAGTGGGGACAACAAGTGGAATTAGCGGTGGAAAAGTGGAAAGATGAGCAAGAGGAGTGGGGACAACAAGTGGAATTGAGGAGTGGGGACAACAAATGGAGTTAGCAATGGAAAAGTGGAAAGATGAGCAAGAGGAGTTGGCAGAACAACTGGAGTTAGAGGTGGAAAAGGCGTGCGCAAAATAAGGAGTTAGCAGAACAACCAATGTAGAGGAAGATGAGTTTGTGGAGGCAACAGAAGTAACCTGCTGAACACGATGAGGTGGAGGAAGCTTCTCAAGATGATATGTTGGAGAACGAGTGACTTTCTATTGCCTCATCCTAATCAGCATTAGTGGTTCATCATCTCTGTCTTTCCTTCTTATAGCTCAATTTTTCTTTGTGATGACCATGACTATTTTGTCAATCTCCTTTGCCACATTAAAACATGTATTTCAGTTTCATTTTCTGCTCAGTGTTGTTATTCTATTATGTACTTTGACAATCAAGAGTTTGGAGTCAGTCATAATGTTTGATTCTGAAAGAAAATAATACATTCAGCATGGGTGGACCAAAAATGACAGCAAGACATTTATTACATCACAAAAGATTTCTATTTCAAATAAATGCTGTTCTTCGAAACTTTCTATTCATCAAAGAATCCTGAACAAAAATGTATCATGATTTCCACAAAAATATCATGTGACAGGATCATGTGACACTGAAGACTGGAGTAGTAATGATGCTGAAAATTCATCTTTCATCAAATAATAAATTACATTTTACAATATATTCAAATAAAATTATAATTGTAATAACAATTTCACAATATTACTGCTTTTACTGTATTTTTGATTAAATAAATGTAGCCTTGGTGACCATGAGAGAGTTTTTTTCAATAACATTTTTTTTTTTCGTATCTGCATTTTTTAACCCCAAAATTTTGCATGCATACAGTAATTATACCCCAAATAACAGACAAAGAATTTCTTGTATACAAGAATGGTTTATTCATGACCATTTCATGATGTCCAATATTGATGCATTTGGCGAAACAAAGGCGGCAAAAGGAAGGAGGAAAGGGAAAATACTGCATGACTAATGTCAATAAAACACTGTCAGACAACAGAGCTACGCAATGAAACATAAGAGCGTATAAAAAAAAAACGATTATCTGACATACAAATAACATTTATCCTATAAATGCAAAAGCAAGGAATTTAATCGTCTCCCTGTTGAGGTGCAAATTACAGGTGGAGGATCGACATCACTGGCCAGAGGTGTATGATGGAGTCCACGGATGCTGGTCTCGGGATTGCACATCATGTCCTTAACGGGAGAAGGTCTTGCCCCTGGACAGATGCGGTGGAAAAGTGGAAAGATGAGCAAGAGGAGTGGGGACAACAAATGGAGTTAGCAATGGAAAAGTGGAAAGATGAGCAAGAGGAGTGGGGACAACAAATGGAGTTAGCAATGGAAAAGTGGAAAGATGAGCAAGAGGAGTGGGGACAACAAATGGAGTTAGCAATGGAAAAGTGGAAAGATGAGCAAGAGGAGTTGGCAGAACAACTGGAGTTAGAGGTGGAAAAGGCGTGCGCAAAATAAGGAGTTAGCAGAACAACCAATGTAGAGGAAGATGAGTTTGTGGAGGCAACAGAAGTAACCTGCTGAACACGATGAGGTGGAGGAAGCTTCTCAAGATGATATGTTGGAGAACGAGTGACTTTCTATTGCCTCATCCTAATCAGCATTAGTGGTTCATCATCTCTGTCTTTCCTTCTTATAGCTCAATTTTTCTTTGTGATGACCATGACTATTTTGTCAATCTCCTTTGCCACATT